TTTAATAGTAAGAGCTTATTCGTATAACTTTATTAGGTATTTAGCACTTATAGTAAGTTAAGAAAGAAAGAAATAAAGAAAGGTACTAGAATTATAAGGTTTTAGTCTTATTATTAAAACTATATAATAATTTATAGTATTAGTTATATTAATTATTATTATTCTTCCTTCTTTTTACCTAAAGTGTCCCTAGTAATATTACCCCTCATTTCACTATGTGACGTGACTTAATCCACTTTTTCCTATAACAGGTCGTAATAAGCATGCGGTGGCGGCAGGGTGGTGGTATCCCGTCGACTTGTGGATGCATTCAACAAGCTTTGGGGTTGCACATTTGCTTGTGACTGGGTATTGATCAGCTCAAGTGCGTCCGTAGCACAAGTGACCCCATCGATCTACCTAGAGTCGCAGTACCAAGTTGTACAATAAGGGTTGACCGACGATTACAATGACATATCATACGTGGACCACAAAACCTCTCCGAGACAAACAACCAACTCAAGTATACCGCCATGAATTGATCTTATGCCATCTACTGAGCTACTGATATCAGCCTTGAGGCCGCTAATTCAAGGAAAATCGGGCCGGTTTGCCCGTCGTGACCGCTTCACCCGTAGAGTGTTAGTCAGTAAGGGTATTGAAACTGCCATCAAGAATCTCATCCAAGCAGTTTCGCATCCTCGACCAGCAGCTCTAGCTCTTCGACGGCCCAACCAGTTTGTTCCTGCAGCCAATCATGTGCCTTTTCCACCATCAATTCCCACGAGTCCTTGTCAGCAGCCATCTTCTTCGTGAGGTGGGCGATTGCGCATAGCGTGGATACAACATCTTCCACATCTCCCCGCATGGGGAGTTTGACGGCGCTTATAGCCTGAGCCTTGGTGATGCCAAGTATATTCTCGAGCTGCGAACTCCATTTCCAGCTGCGACATATGTTTGGAGAACCGCAAAGATGGACAATGCGTCAGGTTCAGCCTTTGCAACTCCAAAACTATCGTCCTCCTCGTCCTCGCCCTCTTCTTCTTCTTCTTCGTCATCATCATCCTCTACAGGCACTACCGCTTTTCTGGGTGCCTTCCTTGCCACAAATGCGCGCCCAACCTGGCGCTTAGATGAAATGTCACTATCATCGCTGAGCTCATCCGTGTCGTCGAGTGCCGCGGCAGAATCATCACCAGTCCCCTCCGCCTCGTCGGCATCCGACCATGTGGCAACGAATGAGCACCACTTTCAGCAATCTGGTGCTCTACTCCCAGTCTAACAGCCTCTTTCTTCACGACATGGGGGAACTTGCCGGGCCATTTCTTCCGGAGTGGCTCGCCATTGGCATCCTTGGCGTGCCAGAGCCAACCTTTGCCATCTTCAAGCTCTTGAACTGCCTTTCTGGCCGCCAACTGGTGCAGCGTCGTGGCCTTTCGGCCGAGTTTTGTGATTGGAATTTCGAGTTCGAGCGGCCCGCGGTGAGAATTACCCCTTAACACGACGGATTTGGGCTCTCGGGCAGGCGTTTCATCAGAAAGCATGATATACGCTGTCGTGCGGTTGAATGGAAAGAGGGCCGGTATGGGCAATGGCGTCTGCAGGTATGTTGGAGCGCTGACTGGTGGCAGGTTAGACTTGAGTGTAGGGTGTAAAAGGTCCACGGGTACCCGTGTGGGTTGCTTACCCTTGGGCTTTGGGTAGGTATGGGTAGGAAAAAAAGACCCAAATGGATCTATGGGGGAAAATGGGGTACCCATAACTATCTATTAGAAATATTAGGTATTTTTGGGTACCCAGATAAGACCTATATAACTTACTTTATGCTTTAAAAACTATAGGTATCCATGGGATACCCATCTTTATATTGGGTTACTCGTGGTATACCCAAACCACCTACATGATAAAATGGGTAGCCCACGAATAACCCAAGAAAAACTTGGATACCCACGGGTGCCCACGGGTACCCGTTTTTACACTCTACTTGAGTGTGTCAAGTTCTTCAGAGGCGTCCTTTATCTCGAGACCTTGATTCTTGACATTGGAGTCAAAGAGATTGGCGGCTTGACTTCCCCAGACCTGGGTTCTTCGACTTCTGCAGGTAGCTCCTCGGCATCAATTGTCAACGAACCCATAATTCTTTCAACGAATTCAAACTCATCTTCCTCAGTGTTGGGGGCAGTTTCTTCCTCAGATTTATCGTACTTGATTTCCAGAGTGTAGTCCGAGACATGCAGTGTAAGTGCTCCCTTGAGCATTCGCACAACCTTCTTGTCAATCTTCTCATCTTCTCCGGCAACTTGGGCGAAGCCATTGCCAGCCCTCGCAGCGCCCTTTATCAGCGAATGGCTCACGTGCTAGCCGATGCCAAGAGTAAACACACGAATGGCTCCCTTGCTTTTAGCCACTTCACGGTTGATGAGGTCAGACAGTTCGCCCGGGTCCCAGATGTCTCCGTCCGTCAAGAGGAATACCTCAAGATTAGACTCTTGAATTCTCCTCTTGAATGTTTTCCGAGCAGGTGTAAACATCTCCGTACCGCCGTGATTGGCTGAGAAGGTCTCAGCATGGCGAACAGCCTCGTCCAGAGTTTCCTGAGTGTAGTCGACAGATTTTGGCCAGAGAAAATGTAACCGTGACCCGAAGCTACAAATATTGAACCGAACCCCGACTGGCAGGGACTTGAGAAAGATGTTGAGTGTCGAGAGGAGATTGAGCATTTTACCTCCTCCCATGCTGGCACTGCGGTCACAGATGAACACTATTTCTGGCTTTTCCACAGGCAGGTTGAATCTGGGGACGAGATATGCCATGACGGTACGGTGGTGAGCTTTGGTAGGATGGACTTCGAGGAGGGCGGCCGGCGCGCCGAGTCCAGTCGCAACGACCTGGAGGATGAAGCAAGTACCTTTCGAGCTCTGCTGAACCGAGGGATAGCGATGCAGACGCCATCTGAAGCGACGGGTCTTGCGACGCATTCGCGCTCATTGCGCCGATGCTGACAGAAATAGGATGCGAAGGCGACTGAACCGACTTGACAATACACCCCGGTCCCATATCAACGTCGACCGTGATGACGATCTTCCCCTGGACTCTGACCTCGGGCGGCGAAACATCTCGATATGCATGATGCCCATACCGCGGTGCAATAGCCGTCGGGATGGTAAACCTCAGCCCGTCCATCTCAGCGTCGTGCTCCAGTTCCCCAAGATACGTCACCTCCACCTTGACACCCTCACCGGCAGACACGTTGCCCAACTTTGCGATGAACACATCCGTCGCCGAGAGACTCTGTCCCAGCAAGCCTGCGGCTTCACCCCGTGCCGTGGCCTTGTCAAAGATACGTTTTGCTTCTTTGCGTTCACGGACGACGCCCCTGATGATTCTTGACCCGATTGTGCATGTGAACTCGACGACGGGCACGACATCGTACATTGGAAACACGTACCGTGCTTCTTTGACTGGACAGCCTGTGTTGTTGACATATGTCTGGGTGAGACGTGTGCGAGACGTGGTGGAGAGAATGGTTGTGTGGGCAGATGTAGCCGAGAGAGCGAGGTAGCGCTGCGTCTTGTCGACAATGACGACACACCCACACGGTATGTATTGGCATGACATGGTGAGGCTGATAGAATGATGTAGGTGATTAGACTATGGACGAGTGTAGATGTACTTTGGCAGTAAAGCGTGAACGCCTCGGCAACAAGTCTGTAGGATGACGAGCACAGGAACTCGACACGACAACGAGTGCGACAAACAGCTCTTGTACATGTATAGCAGCCACGGTTGATATATGTTGTGCGGGCTTTTTGAGATTTCAGTGAGTCACGGGCACAAACTGTATTTCACTTCCAACGTGGCCAAGGCTATCACGAGATAACCTTGGACGGCGCGTCGCAATGAATACCTAATCTTGCTAGTATCTAACGTATTATGATACATTTATAGTGTATCACGGCGTCTTTTACGGTTCTCCGGCTTGGCTACGGCCGACAGAATGTGTTGGCTGATAATGTAGTGCTTGTACGGTGGCTAAGATAATCAAAAAATAGAAAATATAGTTTAAACTCAATTCGTAATTGATAACAACCACGAAACGGAAGCACTGACTGTTGGTTCCCGAAAAGGTCCATTCTTCATCGTTAGAGTCGCGGTAAATGGACAAGGTGGCCGCCAGCAAGAAAAGCGTGAAAGACGATTGGTCGAATTCCCGGCACCTTCCGGGCACCTTCCGGGCACCTATGGCACCGCTCTGCAGGCATCAAATGACAAGTCGCCACCAGACTTCTTATCCGCCTTTTGCCTACTGTTGCCTTCTGTTGCCTAGAATGATGACGGCTACGAATCGGGCCCCGGGGAGAAAGGGGCGGGGGGGAGAAAGAAAGAAGGGGGGGTAGCGAGGAATGGATCGGCATAAAGGAAGGATGGTCTATGGGTCAGGTTCTGTGTTATGCCTTGGATGGGCAAGACTCATCACGTTGTGGTGTGGAACTGGCAAACTATACGCTTCGCAGGAGGTTGTGTAAGTGTAGACGGCGTATTCTAAAGGACACGGCATTGCCGAGGACGAATTACACCTGCATACATTGGCAGTTTGCAAAAAACAAGATGCAGGGAGTGCAGGCATCTCCCACATGTATGCCCACGTCCTCGAGGCCAAAGTCAGATGCTCCAGGACTGGCTTGTACTTGGGGCAGCTGTAATCCGAAAATGCAAGTCTGTACAATTCCATCATGCTATTCAATCCTCCATTCCAACAGAATTCACGACACAGTGTATTGTCCAAAGCCGAAGCCCCATCGTCTCACTCGCACACCTGCAATATACCTTGTGTATACGCCGAAACTTGTATACCCCAGTAGAATATTCCTCTTCGCCCCTCCCTCCCTGCCTCATTCATATACGCCTCACTTAGGAGCTCATCCAAGACGCATGTTTCCAGCGCAACCTCGCCAAAGATGTCGAGTCCGATTTCCCGGCTTCTCTGGATGCCGCCAAAGCAAGACGCCCCAGACTCATCCACAGGGGCATAGTTAATATACGCCCCAAAGATGGTAACAGACGAGCTCTCGACGGTGTACATTTATATCGTGTAACTATGGCGTCAAGGTGCTTCCATAAGCCTCCTTTCTGTTCAGCACACTATGGCAAGGCTGCATCCTCGGCCACAATCATCTTGTTAGTATCGCTTCTTCTGACGGGCCATGGCTGCCTACAGCCACCGAGTCTTGGACGGCTGCAGCAGCCTTGTCGCCAAAACGCCGTCAGATCTGGTCGCTCGCATATGTGCCAGCCTTCATCCTTGTCTGCACTTCAGCGTGGTGCCCGTCCTCACCAAACGACATGGGGTGAACCCGCGACGTAAATCCATATTCGCAGACGAGTGCCACGACTACGGACAGGTTTTTTTTTTTTTTCTTAACTTCGTTACCGCCCATGCTCCTTGTGGTTCATACGCTGTGTATTGTGCATACAGAGACTTTCTTAACTACTATGCTCTCTATGAGATTTTAGCTGGCTACTTTTAAAACCATGGCCACTCTAGACTCCCCTCCCATGAAACAAGATACACGACTTCGGTCCAGCTAACATGGCCTCATTTCACCTTCTCGCATTCCCTCACATAAGCAAGCACAGAAGGCGAGGTCCACATCAAACTTGTTGAACCTCGCACACTTCTTTTGCACCGTATTCCTCGCTAGTTCTGGCGCTATTGGCCCGGCTCGAGGTTGTCACCGTGTGCAAAGTACTGTCGCTCGAGCCGCTGGTGGAATCAGTGCTTTCCTCTGATTCCCTGCTGCTGCCGCCCGAGAGCCTCAAGTTATGGCTTCCGCGATAGCCATCTCGGCTGGCTGTTGCGCTGGCATTGGTACCTCGGTCTGATTCGCTCTACTCCGCGGACCGTTCAGTAGTAGCACCACCGCGCCACAAGCCATAAAACCCATCACAATTTTTCCACATCTTGATCGTCCCATCCTCGGACGCAGTGGCATACAGTTTGCTGTCGGGTGAAAAGGCAATGGACCAGATCGGCCCGTGGTGTCCTTTATGTGTATCGAGTTCAACCCCATCGTCGTATCGAATCACCTTGGCCCATGTTCCAGGCTCTTCACCAACCACCAGCTTGCGGCCCTTGACATCCAGCCCGACACTAGCAATGGAATATGGCAAGACAATGCGCTTGAGCTCATCCATGGCTTGATCGCCTCCCCAAAAATACACTGTCTTGCCGGCAGAGACAGCCAAAACAGGCTTCCCGCCACCAATATCAGTCGGTGATGCCAGCTCCTGTGCGACCGACACCACTTCACATGACTTGATTTCCCCGTCAAGAACTTCATGCTTGATGCATGATCTGCTGGGCAGGTCGAGCCAACGGATGGTCTTATCAGAAGCCGTCACAATAATGTTTGGGTCTTTTGTCCAGCAAATGAACTTGATGGAGCTAGTATGAACACCCTCCCCGATTTCGAACCCGGCCGAGGCAGGGATGGTGGCAGCTTTTCCTGGATACGTCTTGGCAAGTTCAGCAAGATCGAAAACGCGAAGCTTCTTTTCCATGCCACCAGTCGCAACAAGATCCGAGTTATCGGGGGGGTAGGCAACAGCTCGGACAATGTGATCGTGCTGGAGGCTGTACAGCACCTCTCCGGTGTGCGTGTCCCAGATTTTGCTGAATGACGAGCCAATGTTAGTCCAGGTGTTGCGAAATAGGAACAGCATAAAACGTACGCTGTGAAATCAGCCGATGCAGTGGCTGCATTGGAAGCGTCGGGGCTCAACCTGGCTTGCCAGACCGCACCCTTGTGACCGATAAAGGTGCCAATCCTGTCTTCTTTGTTAACATGGCTTTCGAAGCTGATGCTCAAATCCTTTAGCAAGACCATACCAATCGCCAGTAACACCATCTCGAAGCATCGGGTTTCCATCTATAGCAACAGTTAGTCGTCAGCTCTTTCTCTCGAGTCGCATGCAGCCAAGACAAAGCAGCCTAGACCAACCTTTGCAGGCTGAAATCATGTAGTAGGTTTCCTCCTTTTCCAGATGAGAGAAGCTCATGTGAGGCACGGGGCGAGAATGGCCATGGCAGGTCAGCGGCACATACTGCCGAGGAGCTTCGGAAGTCATAATGCGTGATATGGACTATAGTACAGGGGTTTTTGTTGATTTCGGACGTGGGTTCAAATTCTAAAGGCAAGTCGAGTCCAGCTGAGAGCTTGATGGTGCAAAAAAAGTGCGGTAATCGCAAGGATTGTCTTGTGGTACGATTCTTGCGGGATTGTATCGCAAAATACGGTGTCGCTTAGATCGTGATCGTCAAAGGCATAGCAAAGAAAACAGAGACAAGGAGAGACGTGGAGGTTGAGCCACACGGTTGGGCGAGGAGAGACAGAATAAGTACTCCGTACGGAGTAAGCGGCGCCGATTTCGTCCACCGTCCGCAAGAAATGAACGTGACAGCGACTGACGAGTCCGTCGAAAGCCAGCACGGGCTAGATGTTGTGGGAGCGGACGGGACGTGAAAGGAGAGTGGAAAAACGAAGCGGCAGTGATGGCAGTTCTGGGAGAGGCTTCCAAAAGTTGAGCCGAGACTTTTGGTGTGACAAGCATTTGCCCGTTCGGCGGTGGGCGAAACCGAAGCAAGCGTGGGGCTACTAGACTTGAGTCAAGAAGGAGCGAGGGGCATTGGGGGTGCAGGTGAAAAGTGCAGGCGAAAAGTGCAGGCGCAAACGGACAAGCGCTCAAACACTCTGACGTGCATGGCATGGCAAGAGCGTTTGCTTTCTCAACATCCAAGAACATGACATGAACGCTGTCTGCACTCATTTTGGCCATTCAATATATCTGACTACATATGGAGATCGATTCTCACGGGAGTACTCTGCACCAGACTTCATGTCCATGCCAGATCGATGGGGCAGCGACGATGGCTGAGGGGCAGGAACCATGTCCGCAGCACCTCACAAGAGGGCAGGCAAGGGAAGGAACGAAAGGGCCGGAGGACCAACGAAAGGGCTTGTTGAGCCACAGGAGGCGGTTGGCGGGGTAGTTTCCTCCCCTCAGCTCTCTCCTAAAGCAAAGTGCCTCGCCCCCCAGGTACCCAGTACTCCGTACCGAAGGCGTGATGGCCACCTGGGCAGGCAGCAAGTGGGACTGACCAAGGAACCAGGTACAGGCACCTACGCAAGCACCTTGGGCCATCACACATCACCAGTGGACCTTCTCATTGAGCCCTCCAAGCTTCCATCAACGTCCATCTCTCACCCTCCGTCAAGTGTTGATGCTCTGCTGTGTTTTGGCCCTTCATTCTTTGTGTCGAATTGGGCCCATTTGCTCCGTGCTACCAGGCGCGGGGTATTAGAACAGTCCCTTGCTTGCTCCAATAATAGCTCCACCACAGCGCCGACTCCGCCAGTGACCACGTCGACGTCACTGAATAATATCAGCAACTACATACCTGTTCTTTCGCGCCCTGCAATATCGAAACAGTTGTGCAAACAAGCTAGGAGAACCACCTCACAAGTTTCACGCCGCAACTGCCAAGATGGCCCAGGACTTCAAGCTGTCCGCGCAGCTCATCGGCCATGAAGCAGATGTAGGTTTTACCAAGGCTCAAGCAAGCTCTTTCGGGGCTTTTGAGGTTCCGACCCCAGCTAACACCTTCTATGCAGGTGAGATCTGTAGCATTCGCATCACCCGAAGTCGTCCTATCTGTTTCCAGGGATTGTACCGTGCGCAAATGGTCTCGGGGATCCCAAACTCCACCAGCCTTTGAGGGGACACTCGTCAGTCGTGGTTCCGAATATGTCAACTCGGTAGCATTCCTCCCACCCTCTGCCGATCACCCCAATGGTTTGATTATATCTGGAGGGAAGGATACTGTCATTGAAGTCAAATCACCAGCCGCCGCCTCAACCGATCACGCCGAACGCTTACTGATTGGTCACGCCAACAATGTCTGCACTCTCCACGTACCCCCCAGCGGCTCATACCTACTTTCTGGTGGTTGGGATGGCCAGGCCCGTGTTTGGAATCTGCAAAAGTGGGAGACGGCATTGAGTCTCGGTGGGCATGATGGTATGGCCGTCTGGAGCGTTGTTGCCCTCGACGACAAAACTGCCGTCACTGGCTGCGCCGACAAAAAAATTCGCATATTTGATCTCACCCAGTCCTCTGGCGGCGAGGTACAACCTAAATCTACAATATATACACCAGATGTTGTGCGAGCACTCTGTAAGGTTCCCGGGAACCACCCCAGCGGGGGAGACATCGCCAGTGCCAGCAACGACGGGACCATCAGACTATGGAAGTTGAATGGACAGCAAGTCGGGGAATTGCACGGCCACGAAAGTTTTGTTTATAGCCTGGCCAGCTTGCCGACGGGCGAGTTGGTTAGCTCTGGCGAAGATCGTACCGTGCGTGTCTGGAAAGGCACCGAGTGTATTCAGACTATTACGCACCCAGCCATTTCGGTCTGGACAGTGTCTGCTAGTCAAGATACTGGCGATATTGTCACAGGTGCCAGTGATAGCATCGCTCGCGTTTTCACTCGAAGACCTGACCAAGTAGCCGACAAGGAGACTTTATCTGAATTCGAGGCGTCCGTCAAGTCTTCAGCTATTCCTCAACAGCAACTAGGCAGCATCAACAAGGAAAAGCTCCCCGGACCCGAGTTCTTGACGACCAAGTCCGGCACAAAGGAGGGACAGGTGCAGATGATCAAGGAGGAAAATGGCAATGTTACAGCTCACCAGTGGTCCGTCAGTCAACAGCAATGGATCAGTGTTGGCACTGTGGTTGATGCTGTAGGTAGCACTGGTCGCAAGGTTGACTATCAGGGAAAGTCATATGACTATGTTTTTGACGTTGACATTGAGGACGGTAAACCGCCGTTAAAACTTCCCTATAACCTGTCTGAGAACCCCTATGAGCGAGCGACCAAGTTCCTCAATGACAATGAATTACCCCTCAGCTACCTTGACAACGTAGCCAACTTCATCACCGAAAATACCAAGGGCGCAACTCTAGGACAGACTCAAAGCTCTGGGCCAGATCCATATGGAACAGAGCAACGCTATCGGCCAGGAGAGGCGGAATCACAGCCCAAGGTCATCCCTCAAAAGGACTATCTGAGTATTTCAGCCGCCAAGTACGAGGGTAGGTTGAAAACATACATATCATCCCACCAACCACCTTTAGTAACGTCCCTGACACTAATCGCATTAATAGGCATGTTCGCCAAAATATTAAGTGTGAACAATAACTTAGTCTCGTCTGGCCGAAAGGATGCCGCCTTGAATCCCGGCGAAGAGGCAGTGTTGTTGTCACTTCGTGAGGCCCTGGAGGCAGGTCGACCAATCCCCATCAAGTCGATAGAACTCGTAGTAAGAAGTGTGATCCAATGGCCATACTCAGATCGCCTCGCGGCGCTCGATTTGCTTCGTTGTATCGCCAAATTCCCCTCGGTCGCGCAGTGGTCAGATGCTCAATACGGTTCTGCCCTGGACCTGGCCACGACATGCTCTATGCCGGCTGAGCTGCAACCCAATGAAAATGCGGTCATGATGGGCGCCCGTACGATTGCAAACCTATTTGGCACCGCAGATGGACGTAGTCTAATAAGCTCGCATGCTGACAAGCCAATTGCTTATCTCGAACGAATCACTGGGGTCAAGGGTGGAGAGGCTATCGGAAAGTTCAATCGCAACGTGTTGATTGCAGTTACCACGGCAGCCGTCAATCTGTCGGTGCTCATAAACAAGGAAAAGCTGCTGAGTCCAGAGCAGAGGCGTCGTCTTCTCGTGGTACTTGGGGCAGTGCTCAGCGGCCAGTCCGATTCTGAAGTATTATACCGAGCATTGGTGGCACTGGGCACAATACTGGTAACATCTACGCAGGAAGCCAGTGGCCTTGACGTTGGCGGATGGGTTCGTGGAGCAAAGGATCGAGGTTCGGAGGATAGGGTGAAGTCGGTTGCCAATGAGTGCCTAGCTTTGGTGTCATGACGGGCCATAGCTTTTACCATGAAGAAATGAGACTGATAAAATAGACTAAGCACAACGGATAAAGCTGGATTACTGCCAAGAACGTCTCCCTTGTGTGTCTCGCAGATTGGTGACATGGGCCCACACTTGAACAGGGACACTGGAGCAATAAAAAGATGTAGGGAAGTTTCATTTCGTACCTACAACGAGGCAAAGGGGGCTTATGAAGATGTGCATGGTATATGCTACTAGTCGTCCTGCCGGCGCCCAAACTCCATTGCGAATGCCGTATCGCGTGTCAAGATATTTTTGAAAAAAAATCGAAGGAAAAGAGAAAAATGCAATCATCAACAATAGCATAGGAGGAGTTATTCCCTTCTTTCATCCCATTTCTTACGTCATGTTCCTCAAAATAAATCTGGGGATTTTTTTTTATATTTGGTTTACAGCAGAGCCAACAAGCCAGCCACGACCAGCGGCACGTAGCCCATCCAACTGAGGGCTCGTAGGGACGCAGCAGCAGACGTGATGTAGGTGTCGCTGCCAGACATCTTGGTGGCAATGGTGTACATGTCGGCAAAGCCAATGTCGGTCGAGTTGAAGCAGTTTGTCTCGTTGACCTCGCCGATCTTGGGGTCGCCGGGATCAGCAAAGATGATGTCGACGCACTACAATCCCCGTGTTAGATACCAGCTCGTCGTCCTTGACCAAGATGCCCCCATCGATCGGGGCAGTGACCAGCCCGCCATCGTGGGGGGGGGGGAACATACCGAGTATAAAGCGGCTCCGTGCTGGGCAAGCTCGACGAGCTGAATGGTGGCCAGGTCGCCGGCCTTGACGGAGGCGTTGACGGGCAGGGGAATCTGCGGGAGGCAAATGGTGCCCGGGTACGGGTTGTTGGTGGGACCCTGGATGGTGAAGGGGTGAACCATGGGGTTGGACATGTTTTCGGGGCCGTGGTCGGGGCCGTTGGTGCCAAAGCCCAGGTTGACGTAGATGACGGCGAGGGAGTGGCCTCTGAACCAGCCGGGCTGGAAGGCGAGCGCGCCGCCCGTCGTGGGCCAGTATGTGCGGTTTTTGGTGGTTCCTATGCCGCCGCCTGCCGGTGCTGTTTAGTCTTTTTTGTTTCTTCTTCTTTCCATGGGTTTTGTTGGCCGTGATGATGGGGGGGGACGTGGATGGTGTTGGGGGAGGAGTTTTGAGGGCAGAGAGACTCACATGGATACATCCACTGCATTCCGTAGGGAAAGGTGTCGTTTGTAATGAGGGAATTGCCTCTCCAGCCGGGATACGATATGACGCTGTGTGCAGACGCGATAGCCGCGAGGGCCAGTGTGATGAATACCAGAAGCATGGCTGATGGGTGCTATGAGACGTCGCAGAGCAGCAACAGTTTTGGCACGATGCCGTCGCTATGGCCAAAGGTCGTATATGTCCACCCCAACGCGAGGTTTCAGGTGATTTTACTTGTATATCTTCTTGGTTCTTTTGCCCCAACGATGGCGGCTACGATTTCAGGGTTATCTCGAGAAGGCGTTTTTGATGGTAGCCGGAGCCAGCCCAGCTGGGACGGGTTTACAGCAACAAGGCGCCGGGTGAGGGAAAGATGACGAAGGCGGGTGGAAAGGTCTGGCAGGCAAGTGAGATGAAGCTCAGAGAGAGGCGCTGGCGAGGGAAGAGGTTGGAGCTATATGAAAAGGCGGCCCATCTGTGAGACCACACTTTGTCGATGGGCGGCAAAGGGACGCAAGTTGACGAGGCAAAGCACAGGATGCCGGGTTATCCAAACGCACGACGGCATGCAGGTGACGACGGAGGAACATCTACGCATGGCACGAGAAAATGGCTTCAAAGGGCGGCCCGGCGAAAACTGATGAGGGGGAAAGCGTGCAGCGTGGGTGATGATGGATCTGATTTGGCAGCTCGGCACACGGAAACAAGCAGGGCTGGGGGTCAAACCGGTCCCCCCTGGCAGACAGGAACAGCACCATTGGCCGTCAAGGGCAGCAAGCGTCGGCGGTTGCAAGAGAGGCCAGGATGGCGAGATGGCAGGCATTGTGACGATGCGACTTGAATGTTGTGCAAAGGCCGGATTGTGACGCCTGATTGGAGGCTGCAGGAGGAGCGGCGACGATTTAAGCGCCCGTCACGACGAGGAGGAGTGGGGCGCGGCACCACGCAGCCAATCAGCATGCACTTGTGTTTTGGACATTGAACACCAGGTACGGAGTGCAACGTCTGACTGACATGGATTGAACTGGTGAAAGGGCGGAGAGAATACTGCGGTTGATGTCGAGAATCGCGGCCGGAACTTGGTCCCCAGGCGCCGCCGGATGGGCAGCCGAGCTGCATTCAATAAATTAAATAAACTGGGCTGCTTTGGGTGGTCCACGGTTGGTGATGGGTCAAGTCTTGTGCGTAGGCAGTATGCAAAGCAAACAGCACTGGTGGTAGCTTCAACCACGGCAGAAGTGTGAAGAGCGCGAGAAATCTATGTATTTCTTTGAAAAAAAAAAAAAAAAAGGAAAAGAAAAGAAAAGAAAAAATAATTCACAAAGAAAGTAAAACACATTGAATCAAAGCCAAACGTCCAAGCTGCGTACACCCATCTCCATCAGGTACCAACTAAGTTACCCTGTAGAAAAATTCATCCTCAACAACCACCTCCACCACCACCGAACCATCACGAGATTCACATCCCCCCCAAGCAACAATGCCGGCCGCCGACGCCCAAGTATGGACGTTCCCCAGGCCCAAAAAGACGCGCAGACGTCCTCCCCCACCACCAGCACCCCAACGCGCCGCACCGCCAATGTCCGCATCCGCCATCAAGGCAGAACACCTGAGCGCGAAAAGGGACTGGGCGTCGTCAACCTGCTGCACCTCCCTCCGCAAGCTCATCGCCTCCCACGGCCCGGCCCTGTCCCCCGTCACCAGCGCCGTCTGCCTCGGCCTCGGCACCTTCGACCCGCACGACGGCTCGTGCGAGTCCAAACGCCGCACCCATCGCCAGTTCATTGCCTTTCTCACCATGGTCGAAGAGCTGGGTACGTCTTCTCTTCACACTCCCGTCACCAATCCCCGGGCCGTGCCTGTACCGGAAGTGAAGCACGCACTGACAGTGGCGTAGAGAAACTCGCCGGCACACGGATCGAGTGCATCTTCCAGGAGCCGCTGTTCACGGCCGCGGAGAGGACGTTTCTGACCGGCATGGGCTACCGCGTCGTCGACCACCCCGTGGCGTGCCGCGCCGTGACGGCCGACTCGCTGCTGTACGGGGTTCACTTGTACCGCGAGCTGTACGAGGAGGCGCTGCGTACGGCGCTGCCGGCCGTGTTTGTCGGAACCGACTGGGACACGTGGGACGGGTAAGTAGTATTTCTGTTGTTGTTTTGGCCTTGAAGTCCCCGTCCCCCCCCACCTTGCTTCTTCTTTTCCCCCCTCGCTAATAAGAGAAAAATGCAATAGGGTCTTGCTGGACGGAGAGGCGGTGCAGGGAGTGAGGAGGATGCATGAGAGGTATGGGAAGTTTACATTTCCCGAGGATGGCATGACGTTTTCGAGCACGTCTGTTTACTGGCGGCCGAAGGGACCTTTGGCCAGCAGCAAGGGCGGAGGGAAAGACCATGGCAGAATAGAGAATGAGTTGGTGGATAGGCTGGACAAGGTGGACATGAATGCGTGAAGATGGATGGTGTTGCTGGCTTTGATCAAAGGAGCCCATGATGATTTACAATGAATAATAATAGCATGGTGTTCAGCGACAGGACTGGTATCGGAAGCATTTGCCTTATAGTACGGAGTACATTGGCTACGAGTTTGATTCACATGTGCCAAGAAAAAAAAAAAAAGAAGAGTGAAAAAGCCCAAAAGCTACAAGGTGAAAGTAAAGCCGAGTCCTGTATTTATCCGTATCTAATACTAATGCCTAATGCGGTGTCCGCCGCTCATACAATAGCAAAGCTGCCAATGCCGCTCGCTGCAAACCACGAGATATACCACACAGCAAACGCATAATACCTCGGTCCCCTCGTCTTCCCAAAAAGAAAACAAATCTAGTCGCATGTATATGCACAAGGAACAAAATGCCAAATCCATATTTCTCTAGGCTCCATAACGCCAGAAGCAACCAAGTAGCCAAACTAAAAGGACCAGCTGGTGAACAGTGGTTCCGGCGTCGGCGTCAAAGTAATGACATTGGTCATGGTATCGTGTGTGGTGGCGAAATTATGTAGCGGCCAAGTTACTACCCGGTGCTGTTGGTCGCTTTGAATGGCTTCCCAGCGCCAGTCGTTCTTTGTTTCTGACCCAACTATACCGTCTTGCCGCCGCAATCAGGGATCTTGATACCACTCTTGAGCTTGCGGTTGACGTCCATCAGACCCCACTTGTCTTCCCATTCCTTGTCCTTCTCATTGAACCGAACTTTCCAAGGCTCGTCAAATGCCTCGAACCAAAAGTAATTGGTGCCATTGGCAAGCGCCTGGCACACCCAGTCGTCCATGAAGCGATTCATGTTGTCGACACTCGCGACCGCACCAGGCGTTGACGGCCCGCATGTTGTGGAGGCACCACAGTCCTTGCCGCCATCGCTGGGCCAGCCCGTCTCCGAAATGACATTTTTCGACGTCTCAGATTTCCAGTATTGCTTATCCCTATTAGTCCAAAAACTGTACGTCCAAGACGCTGCCTGCTCTGCCGACACCCCGGCGAAGAATGGATGAATATTGGCCATGATGTAGTCGCTCTTATCGGCCAAACCCTGTTGCCAATTGTCACCAAGGTCAGACGACGCCACGGGCAAGTTGATCTTCTTGGTTGTCAGGTTGGTTCGAACACCATCAAGAATGGTACCGAGTTGGGTTATCGACATCTCTTTACGGAAGAGGATTTCATTGGCAACAATAATGCCTTCAAATGGTTTCTCGCCATATTGATCAAGGATGTCCCACATCTGTTGTAGTTGTCGCGTGTTGGTTGTCGTATTGCCGTCTTGCCATACACCTAACCAGATCTTGATATCGTTCTGCATCTTGAGCTGATTGACGGCATGGATCACCATCTGAGTCTGATTACAGTCGGTGCCGTATAAGCGAATTTTGTTGGTAAGCTGGCTGAGAACTGCAACGTCGCGGGTAATGTTGTTTTGCGACGGCGGATTGTGTACGCAGTCGGGATATTGCGTGTTCAGAGGTGTGTAGTCCATTCCGGGAAACACCTTGTGGAGGTCCTTGTTGTTGAGAAGCGCCTTGATCTCTTTGCTGTTGATGTCGAGGTCACCATTTTTGTTTGTGTCATCCGCCGCCGAGTCACCACTGCTGCTGCCACCAGACTTCTTGTTGCCGGCAATCATACTTCCGACAACACCACCCACGATGGCGCCGGCAACTACAAGAAAGACCAGAATAATCACGAGCCATTTCCATTTCTTGCTGCGACCTTTGTCGGGTGCTACCCAGTTGTCTGGCTTTTCGCGCGCAAGCTCGGACTCACTGCGACCTGCGGCCGAAAGTTAGTTGCCGAGACCGAACTCGCCCAACCGCCATTTGAGGAATAAAAACTTACCGTTTCGATTAAAAATACCTCCAGCGGCCGCCGCGGCCCCAATCCCAGCGGCGCCGGCACCAGCCGCAGCACCAACCCCTGCTCTTCCTCGGTCAGAGTGTGGTAAACTGAGCATCGAATTTCGCTGGCTATGCCGTGAATAGTTCAAGCCGTCATCACCATCGTCAACAATGTCATTCGGATTAACGACACCCAGGTTGGCGTCGTGGTATCTGTGTCCGTTTGTTGGCATTGCCTGATAGGGCTCATCTCCAAAGGACTCGCCACCAAAACTTCGAAGACTTCTTGTCGGGGAGTGGGTGGCAGAGGGAGTGCCGAAAGGATTGAGACTTGACCCAGAACCCTGCGCGGGAAGTTGATGTTGTCCTAGGCCGCGGTTGTAAACCGTTTCTGGAGCATACCCGCCAGGCTGTGAGCTGTTGTATCCGGCATCGTGCGCACTGGGATACTGGCTCCGCGATGGTGGAGGAGGTAGTTGACCGATGCCTCCCGCAGCCCCCATTCCGGTTTCATGAGCCCTGTGATCAGCAACGCTATAAGCAATACCAGCCATGCCCCCAGATGCATGCTCGCCGAAGTTGTCAGCCCCTGGTGTAATGTTGCTTTGGGCCACGTGTTGCGCATACGGGTGATCCTGGCCATCCTGGGCAGGGCCTCTATTGTACGCGGTGAAGTCATTGTGTTGAGGAGGCGCCGGTGCAACCGCTTCGTGGCCATAGCCACGACTGGCAGACGAAGCATCATCATGTCCTACATAAGGCTGATACGACTGGCAAGGTTGATGTTGCTGCTGCATTCTGAATGCGTCTTGCGGTCGCTGCGGTGAGGCGTCGTCGTAATATGGTGAATCCGCTTCATCATAATTATAATTGTAGACATTTCCGCCGGCTTGTCTGGGGGGCGTGTTGTAGTCGGGTGGGTCGCCCAAGGGCTCTCTCTCTTGGTGGTCGTCCCTTCCGTACCGCTGCATGTCGGCAGGAGGGAGTCTATGACTTATTATGGTGCCGAAAGGAGCGTGCTTGCGAACGAGATGGCTGTCAGAGAAGAGGGCACGGGGTGAAGTGAGGTTGGCAGCGAAGGAGAACGGAGTAACAAATTGATCAAAAATTGAGGAGCACAAATGATTGCATCGCAGACTCCCTGACCATGTACTACTCCAAGCCGGGAGTGCCTCAGAAGGGCCGCGGAGAGCACATGTGATGGATGCTCTGCGGCACTTGCTTTTGGACCCGGCAGTTGAAAAAGAAGCAGTTTCGAAACGTCTCGGTGGTCTGCTCTCTAGTCAATTTTGCCAACTCTGCGGCAAAAAAAAAAAAAAAAAGGCTTGATAGTCGCCGGAAACGTAGTCTTGGTCGAACCGAGCACAAATCGAGCGCCAGCCGGTTGGATGTCGTCAACCAAGTTGGATGATGGGACAGCCACTCACTGGTGTTGGGTGAGTGACGGGTGGCGGTCGCTGCGGTGATGAGGGCCAAGGTAACTCGAAATGGTAGCCCGGCGTGTTGCGATGGCGGACTAGCTCACACGCGCTAGTCCCAGGGCAGCTATTACAGCCCCTTGATGCGCAGCGGTTTCTGCGATGACGAGAAAAGTCAATACAGAGCGGGCTTGGCGATGGGCTGCAAGATGGTTTGAGAGTTGAGAACGATTCAGTCGAGCGTCGAGGACACCTGTGCAATCGACGTCTGGTTGTGGGAGGGGGAAAGAAACACGGAAGGAGCGAGGGACAGAGCAAATCAAATGGGAAGGCGGGTGAGCACTGCGTGCTGAGGCGTGACTCTGGTGACTGCGGTGAGTGAGGCTGAGACAAGCCCACGACCCTTCCTTGAGACGACCAGAGACTGGGGGCTGCCTTGGAATGCACAATGACCCATGCCCCAAGCATGGAGTTGCTAGGACCATGCACCCCGTTCAACCTGCTGTGCAAATACGATGCAACCAATGGCCATGGAGACAGTTGGCCTTGGACCTTTCAACCGCCGCCCGTCGTGCCAGCCCTTCAGCTCCCCAGGTGCCCTTTTCGTACCCTTTTCTCAACACCGAGTGTTCGTCTTGGCTTGCCGCTCTTACGTTTAACAATCTTGCCCACGAAATCCAACTTGTCGTCACTGCCCCTCGAACACGTACCACGAGTTTGCGACCTTGGTGGGAGTTGAGGATGTGGGATGTCGAGGCCTGTTGTTGGTCCCTCCTCCCCCCGGCAACGTCTGGCATTCAGAGTGGGTGCGCGCGTGTTTGAGAGTAACCTACAGGTGTCTGAGGGGGCCAGGTCATGAATCAGATGTACCACGAGATTTACGGAGTCCCATGAGAAACACGATTGGAACCAGAGAGCAAAGCAAGCTTAGCTTGTTAAATGCCTGGCTGATACTTGAACGCTTCCCAATGACCATGAGCCTTACAGAGTGTGTGCGGTCAACATAAGATTCAGTTCGATCTTAAAAATACCACGCCTCGCTCGCCGTGCGGGTTATCCAGCAGTCGCACCAACTCCGTCCGGCATCGAGATGGAGGGTGACGATATCCGCCAACACGAGCTCCACAAGCCACTTCGGCCGCTTCTGGCCAATGTCGGCCAGTACTCGAGTCCACCAGAACCAGGGGCTTGAGGGCTGTACAAGTTGGTAGTTCCTGGATTAGTGGCATGTGGCAATTTCGTTAGGTTTTCCGACATGCCAGGAACCGACCGTCTTTTCACCTCAGTCTAATGGCCAAGATCGAATGTTGCCAAACAATTTCATCTTCCACGCCATGCTGGTCATGTTATCGCCTAAAAAGATGATGAATCCATGCAGTGCATATTTGCAAATCCAGATGTCGTATTGGAGCTCCAAAGCGCCACACAAAGGCATCTCGTTTAATTCCTCCCTGGCTGGGGCTGGGGCAGGTCTAATATTGGAGACGACAGAGTCAACGTCCGGCAATGCAAGACAATTATGGAGTACGGAGTGCTCCGTGCCATGAAATAGGTAATACTTTGTGGAGAGATGCTGCCTAATACAGTGAACACTTACCGCACATTGTTTGAATTTGGACCCTGCAACATATTGACGCGAGCTTGACCCGCTCCGTACTCCGCACTATCATCCTTGATTAAAGCCACACGAGTTGGCTCGGCTTTTGCGACTTTTGACGCAACATCTCCCGGGCCGTAGGGATGGCTTCATCCGATAGACACTTCAAGGGCGAATGATCGACAGCAAGTGAATTCAGCAAGCTGTTGACGAGCTGGCATGTAATGATGGAGCATGTTGGAGAACGAATCAAGGTGGGTATTTAGGATTGCAATAGTGGCATCAGACTCATGTGTAACTACTGTGGCAGGGTTTCTCCGTACCTCAGGTCATTGTAACGACCGGAATACTGATCGCCAGCAGGTCAACTGGTCCACAAATGGTCTGGTGCCTATTCTTGCTCTTCTCATTCCTACAGCATGCTGTACCCCCTCCCGTTCCAATATGCGGGTCCGCGTACCATATTCGACGCCCTTGCACATGTTCTGGTGCAATATCCGTCCATTTTTGGGGCCGGTACGGGTGCAAGCTTGACCCCGCGGAAACCCTCGGCAGCTATTCAAAGGGCTCTCGCCGTCCATCTACGGCAGTGCTGAGCGGCGCAGCATTCGTTGCGTCGTCCGATCCGGTCGCTGGTTAAATAAACATCGGGACAAGCTGCGAAGTCCTGGCCCCGGAGCTCAATTCCGTTGGATAACACCAGCCCGAGGCTTCATCATCGCTCTTCTGGGCCCGTTTGCCGCCGACTGTCATGAATCGATAGTGGGCACTCCTGATGGGTGATCAATATGCCACAAGGCATTTGGACCTGCCGCTTTTCGGTGCGTGCGCTGAAGAACCATGCGCATTTTCCGAACCCGACAGAGCATAATGACTGGTCTACTTGTTGGGATAGGACTGTGAGCAGCAAGGCGATGTGTGACCACACTGGAGATATCCCGGCCCGAGTTGATTGGCATCAGGCATGTACCACCATTGGTGTCGGGCATTGCAGCACGCCAGATATCCGTGGCAGCTCTACCGTCGCGACGACTCTGAAGCACTTTTTCCTAGATATGAAGACCTCGAATGAAAGTGTTCATCAGGAAGTCCCAGTTTCTTCCTGATTGTTATCAGCCGTGGCAGCGCAGCAACTTGGGTTAGGCTGCTTGAATAGCGTTGGACAGGGTCATACGGCGCGCCGCTTCCAAGATAGCCGCAAACTCTGGTTCAATGTTGTGTTTGCCACAGCTACCCCCAGAAAATCACAGATTATTGGCTCTATCTTGACAAGTGGCGTGGGAAGAGCCGTTCTCAACCGCTGAAAAGGGGCACCCACGCGGGACTACAACGTGCGAGCCCATTATAAGCTAAATGGGACGTGTTGGGCAGAATCAATATTGCAACACGCCATCATGTGATTGGAAATAGTGTTAAGCCCCCAAATTCTTTCTGCGGTCCGCAGCACTACTGCCTTGGCATGGCTATGGGGCCATGTGGTCAGCGGCTGTTCTTTTCAGCTCATGCCGCTGATGGCCTGCATCTATGAATAGATGAGAATCTGGCAAGTACGGGTATGAGGTCATGATCCGACACAATAAGAATCGGGCTTTGATACCTTGAATGCACATGAGGAGGTATGGGCTGAGTTGGAACCTCGCACCGGTTCACACGCAGATTTCACATCTCGAGCTCCTTGCGGAGAAGGCATACCGGAGTTCGTGGCCGAGACGCAGCCGCAGAGCCGCAGGACTCCTTGTCCATCAGAACACTTTGTATTGCTTGGAGTGGCTGGCTGCCGGACGATCAGTTAACTGTTTTGATAATTTCGCAGCTAGAGTTGCCCCAAACGTGCGGTTGGTGGATCGCACAGTTGTTATCCTTGTTGTGGCAACAGTTCTTTTGGCAAGATAGGCGAGAGGAGACGATGCTACATTGGCAAGATGGCAAGAGATCCCTTGACACCCAAATGTTACCTTTTATTTCTCCCTGCCCTTTTTTCTTTGCCCCAAGGGGTTCGGCACTCATTCTCAATCTGGCACAACTCTTCTCTTAAACAGCCACGTCTGATCTTGGGGAAGTGAATTGGCCCATTGGCCTCAATCTAAGGAACCTTCAAGGATTCCTGTAGCTTCCGAAGACTCCGTCGCTTTCCACAATACCTTGACGTCCCGTCTCCAGATGTGCGCTCCCCGCCCCCTTCCCCATGATTGGCCGTGAACCCAAGGCTGTCGACTTTGCCTGCCGGGTCGGCACGTCAGTAATACGCCCGTCATGCATAGAGTTTTGTGGTGGTGCCTTGAATCGAGCAATTGTCTGCCGTCCTCTGTGGCTGTTGGTTGCTTTTCTTTTTAACCTTCTTCATTGTTAAACGACCGCCGTTCAAGGGGTCAAATGCCCTCACTACAGACTACAGCCTACAGCCACACTATAAACTATATGGACAGAGGGGCTTTGGCGGTTTCTTCTTACCAAGTACACTGAAGAGAGCGAGAAACCTCGGCTGTCAAGGTGCCTCTTCGATACAACACTGTGGCGTCTCACACCGATGACACGGCCCAAGGCCTTGCTCTCAGAAACGACAGACCACTGTCGCCGACCAAGATATTTCCCGCAAGACGTCATGGAGATCCAGTTTTCTATACCTATTAATACAGCCAAGCAGAGCAAGTCTCCCGAGTAAGTTTTTCCGGTTTGATATGTCTGTGGAGTCGCCATCGGCTTAATAGTATTGGCGACGAAGACTTGCATAGACTGACACACTAGGAACCATAGGTCCTCTGGATTGTCATCACCTTCGAAGCCCTCACCGCCATCAGGTCGGGGCAGCACCCATAGATTTGCGCTCGAAACTAGAACACGGCATAAAAGACGAAGTTCAACGCGAGCCCGGACCGGCTGTGCCACCTGTAAGTCCATAATCCTCTTTCTTTCATCATATTCAGTCGCCATCAACCTGAAAACAAGTCCCCTTGCT